AAGATCTGCAACCAGCTAGATCATACTCTAAAGGGAAACATGTATGCTCAGCTCTCTTCGTGTGTTGTGGCCAACAAGTACCCATGGGGTGAAGATAATTTTTTATTTCTCGGATAAACAAAACATTCTCCATAATTTGTCATATACTTTGTGTATGACAAGAAAGAAACGCTTTATGGGGGAGCTTATTGGTGCTCAGGAGGACATTATGGGAAGGCTAAAAAGGTTGATCCACAAATTAAGTACCATCGTTAGAATTGGCAAAACATGAGGTAGAGAAAATTGGGTGAGGGGGCAGTTGGGGTGTCCGCGTTGCTGGATCATGAGATCAGAGATGATGTGAATGATTGGAAAGAGTTTGATTTAAAGTCGGATTTACTACATCCTTTTTATTAGTATACATCACATCAAAGACAGATTGAACTGGTGTAACACATCAACTACTTTAGAATTTTCTGAATTACTGTGGAACAAATTGGATGAATAATCTCAGCATTCTAAATCCTTTGAGAATGTAATCAATTTGGTTTACATAAGGCAGATGCTAATGGTACATGTCATTAATATATTATGCGTGTAAATTCATTATTCCTTTTATTTTATGACTGTCCTGAAACTTGATAATGATCAAATCCTCTGACAATCTAAACTAAGCAATTAGCGTCTGTAATTTGAGATGGATGGAGTTGGAGACACGGACCGGGTGAGATGACGAGATGAGATCTGTCGATCTGAAGGCATCAGAGCGCAGGCGGGCTTTTGGGATGACAAGACGGAATTCAGTAGTGACTGCTGGCGCTGCCTATCTGATGTGATCTCTGCCCACAATACTCACACACACACTACCAATTTTGTTTCCTCTTTGTCATCATTAGTGTTAGGGAAAATTGCAGAAACCTCTCCTGGCGTTTCTTACATTAGCACTCACCTCTCTCCTGTGATTTAAAACATAGTACTTACCTCCCTTAAACTTACTTATTCAGTTGTATATTCGGTTAATGCTAGAAAGAGTGCTATTAAAATATTATTATTTTAAGGAGTGAGATGAGAAATTTGTACCAAATGTATCATTTGTGCTGCATGCCAAGTAGTATTAATGAAAGAATGACAAAACAACACAAAGCAATTAGTAATTAATAAACTTCAGAGGATGTAAGTGTAAACTCTTCAGAGGATGGAAGCGACCTTGTTTGATAACTCAATTCAGCACTTAAATTTAATGGATTCAGATTTTAATATATTTATATGCATTTGGCAATGAAAAATTGAACATCTGAACTAATTAAGTGACATTGAATTTCGTAAGCAAAACTTGCTCCCAAAAATAAATGATAAACTATTCACTTATCACTTAATGTGATACACACTCAAATATATTATATTTATGATTTAATAATTTAATGGATTCAAACTTCATATTTCAAATTTTAATTTTATCAAACGATATCCTAAATAACATATTCCATTAATCATCATCCTAAATAACATATTTCATTAATCATCAATAAGTCTTAAAGTGATGATGCATCATCCATTCATATTCCATCATTGATAACCCATAAATTCACTGAAGTTAGATTTGGCATTTTATCATACAACAGCTAACATGAAATTTTCTGTTTTAAAGTGACAATGGCAAGGGTCATTTACCTGTACAGGTGTGATTCTTGCGAATTTTATGACGAAGTTGCACACACTTTATTTGTTTACAATTGCCTATTTTATTTTTTCTCTCACAATTGTTTTAGCTCTCATGAACTAAGCAAAACCAACATACTTCTTCTGTTATGTATAACTCTAAAGATACTACAGCTTTTAGCCCTTGTTATCTCAAGAGCATAACCAACAGCTACGCCCCCTGTCATCTCAAGAGCTGTCGTTCACAAATTGGCGCCAATTTATGGCACCATTTTCCTCCACAGTTGGCACCATTGGTTAGCCATGCTTATATTGCCTAAACCTGTTAAAAGTCTAAACATAGTAGAACTCACAGGTAATTTAATTAGTTTAATTAGTCATTTAATTTATTGACAAGAAACAAGAAGGTTTCTTTTGCAAAGTTCATTCATTAGGTTTCTTCAAATAATTAGGACATAAATGTAAATTCCTACAATCTTTTATCAGCAATAGGCGCCAATTTCCTCTAAAGAGAGCTTAGTCCTATTTTTTAAACCACAAGAGAGGTGAGTGTTAGTAGTGTTAAAAACCTCAGGGGAGGTTTATGCAATTATCCCTCAGTCCTATCGGCTCTTCCTACGATCCCTCCCGCTACAACTGGCTCCTTTCATCTCTTTATTCTTTGTAGTAAACTTGACAATTTTTCGAGTTTCCAGAAATATTCAGCTCATTTTCCTTCTTTATTCTGGTTTGGAAGTTGTAACAAAAGAGGGAGGCTTACCAGATTATCCTTGGGAAAGTTGTTTTGAGTTTCTCATCTTCATTCCAGCTTCCATTTTTTCTTCCATTTCCTATCATTTCACTCTATCAGGGAGAAATATATATTTTTTTTATAATCAAGTTAATTGGTCCATCATCCACCCAAGATGCAGGAAATCGAAAGCAATTGGAAAAGGTTGTGGGTATTAGTTCCTATCAGTTACATATGGTGATGTTTTCTAACTCTGCCAACATATATGGTGATTATCCTCGCAAAACTTCTGTCTACCATCTGATCAGCAACTCGTCCTCATGATGGATTCTCTTAATCTATTTTTTCAATCTTTGATTCGTTGGTGGCATCAATATCAATAGGCTGAGGAGTCTCTTCGATCAGTAGAGGCCGACACCAGAAAAAACCTCAGCATCTTATAGAGTGGAAAAATAACATATATATTATCCATAGTTGAATTATAACAATCTTTGGACACCCTTTTCCTATTTCGGTTTGGCTTTTGGATAATAAAAAATTTTCAGATTACATGTTTAAAAGGATTTTAAGAAAAAGAAAAAAGATACATATACCGGCGGAAGGTGCGTCAACTTCAAGTGCTTTTATTTAATTTGCGTTCTTTTCTGTGGTAGGAGTATCGTATCTAAGTTCAGGCTAAAAAAAATATGATACTAAATACACCAATGGATGATTCATAGCACTAGATGCATCATACAAGAATATATATATATATATATATGTATATATATATATGTGTGTGTGAATTTCTTAAATTGAAAAGGATTTTCAATGTAGTATAATATATCTCCCTTTTCCTGAAAAAGATTGAGGTTAAAGTTGTGATCAGTGGTACTAATCTGTTCTTTTCTTTTTCACGTTCTTAAGTTTATTAATTAGAACTCGATCATTCGGTGTGCACATGATGTGATGTAATTGCAGAAAGCCTACGCTTGATATTGTCAAATTGGGATTTACCACCGTGTGAAAGAGTGCCCGTTTGCCTACAAATCCTACATCAGTTACGGATTTTTCCATAGGAATCTATAGGATTTCTTTAGCCCTGCTCATGCAGGCATATAGAGAGTTGAATAAACAGAAAAGTGGAGCATTTCGGGTTCTCTATCTTTTCCTAATCCATGCTAATTAAAGGATCAGAATATAAGTCAATGTGAAAAGGTAGAATTTCAATTAAATGAATCGAGCAACTAGCAAGCGCAATGGCTTGATGTCTGCTTTATCTTTCACTCAGGTGTTGTGCTCTACTAGAATGAGCTAAAAGGAGATGCCTCGATGCAAAGTGTATGCATAAGATAGAAGTTTGTCTTCATTAGTAAACTTGAAAGCGATCAAAGTTGGCTTATTAATCATCCAATTTAATAGTATTGAGATACTGATCTCTGTTGGAATGAAGCAAGTGCACAATGCAAAGTTCTTAACCCAGCGGGGAAAGTTCCTTGCAAAAGATAATGTGTGTGTTTGGATTGTATTTTCCATGAATTTTTCGTTGAAAAATTACTGTAGCGATTTGATGTATGTGAGATAAAAAGGTGATAGGGAAATGTGTTCACGGAAAACAAGCCTATTTTTCGGTGGAAAATGGCTATCCAAACAAGCAATAAAAGTCTGCCTTTATTTTGCTTTTACAAATATGTCAGTGTTACTAATTTTGCTATGTTTGCATGAACATGAATTTTCAGTAACCATTTACTCTTTCTTCAGACACGTGACTTGCAACGGATTTTTTGTCCCACACTCTATGTCACTCTCTGTCTCACTTTTTATTATATTATTATTTCTCCTACATCAATATCATGTTTTAGTTTTTTTTGGTTTCCTTAAAATCTAATAACTATTAATTGAGTAAAACACAAAATTTAACAAACTCAAAAAATTAAAATGCATACAAATGAGACTTTTTATGAATTTTCTATTATATATTGCTTTTTTGAAGATGCTGTATTTATTTTTCACTCAATTAATAGTTATTGAATATTAAGGAAACAAAAAAGAAGTAAAACATGATGTTTATGTAGGAGAAATAGCAATTTAATAAAAAGTGAGATGTAAAATGGCATAAAGTGTGGGACAGAAGATCCGTTGCGTGCCTGAAATTTTCTTTTTGTTATTGTTTATACACATGCAATTTTGAGGACTTTATCATATGTACTGTTTGATTTTTTTTTTTTTAACAAAACTTTATAATTTCATTAAAAGACAAAATTACATCATACACGCACACATACAAGATGGATTACAACAGAAAACAGGCACATTCAGAGATTTATTCAACGCATAATTCTCAGTACTTGTGGCGTGTGTACATCCAACTTACTGCGCCTAGTTACTTGCGCTGATCCAATTCCATCATACCATACTATTGCCTTCCAGTCTAAATTCATTTTTTTAAAAACAGATATGTTTCCCTTCTACTAATATTAAAATCCCCGCAAAGCTAAAGCATATGCAAAGTAAGGCAATGAGATTAGGGGGAGTGTTCTTTGCAAAAGGAGAAAAACAGAAGAAAAAGAATAATATGAGTAACTCCCCGCCTTGCTTTCCATTATTACATATTGTATAACCATAATAGGACCGTCTCTCTTTTGGCTATATAAAGCCCTTTCCTCCGTCCCGGAACATATAAGCTACCACATGGCTTGATACGTGGGGAGTTCATATTTGAACCTACCGCTGAGATCATTCTGTCCTTTTCACTCTCTTTGTCTATACGTGTGTGTTTATGTGCGTGCTTTGGGCTAATTAGGGCATCTCCAGTCCTACATATAATGTACAAGTTGCATATGTCACAGGCTTGGCTCTCCCATTTTCAGGTTTTATTGCCAAGTTTGCTTAATTGTTTGTTGCTTTTGCAGTTTGATGCGGTTGGATTGAGGTTTGGATATACCTTAAAAAAGAGAGCTTTCTTCAGTCCACTCATGGGTGGCAGTAGGATTCAATTAGCTGCCGACTCATTCATCCAAATGCTGAGTAAGATTGGTACTCAGTAACTGAGTGAATGATGCGGGAGAAAAATTGATTCTTAAGCTTCCTGTACTTGGACTGAAGGGAGCTCCCTTTACTTTTATCATCTATATTAACCTGAGATTCGGCCTTTTCAGTCTTCATCATCTATAGTCTTGCAGGTAGATATGTTTTGCTTATTCTGCACCTCAACATACAGCAGGCAAAAGTAGAAGATAAGTGTAGATTACTAATAGAGTACTATATTCTGCATATGATGATGTTTGACTCATCATGAGCTTGAGGGCTTGGTTTGTTTAAAGAAACGGATTATACATCTTGACTAGATTCTGTGACCATGATGTTTGTCTTTCTAACATTATTATATGGAGAATTTAGTTGTTTAGGGAAGAGCTTCACCACTAATCAACCAACCCATTTTCGCATGTCGATTGTCTTTTTCTTTCATTTGTATGCTAGGCATATGTTGAATGTTAATTCAACTATAACCCCAATGGATGTGAAACAATGGATTTAGGGTTTCGTCAAAGTGACTTTCTTGTCATGCTGTAAACGCTCTACGACAATGCGTTTCTTGGTTATTGCCCACTTATTGCATCAAGTTCCCAGATATGTCTCTCAGAAGCTGATGCAATTACCAAAATATCCTCGTCATCCATCCAAAGTTCCAACTGTGGGTATACCTTGAAAATATGCTAGTGCTAAATTTATACCAGCTAGTATACTTCTCTTCGATTTATCCTTATCGGTTTCTTTGGTAAGCATGTCAAGATTTATTCGTGTCTTCTGATATTTTTTTTTCCTTTTCCTTTTTATGATCCACAAACTTGTTTTAGCTGCAAGTTCTCAAGAAGATCGACCAATGAGCCAAGGGAATCATTACATCCAAAAATTGGCAGAATGTTTCAAAGGACGTACTTTCTTGGACCCATGAAGAGAAATCATCCAGAGCTCCTGAACAGGAGGATGCTCCCAGCCTCAAGGCTATAAACATAGTGATATTGTGGAAGGCGCAGTCAGTTAATTTACCACTAATCTGTGTCTTGACTAGGGGTTAACTGGTCTAAATTTGCATAGCTTTCCAGTAGATCTTGATCCTTTATAACATTAGACCAGCTCTCGTGTACTTGACTTTGTGTATTAATTTAATATCCATTGTATAACTAGGGCCAATTCCTGAAGTTTGTACTTTTTTAGATGGTTTGTATGGATGGTGACAGATGAAATGTTATAATTAGGGCCCAATTCCTTGTTTGGACTGCGATTTCTTTCAAAAAAAAAATTTTACATTTTCTATAAGCACATTTCTCAATCACTATTTTACTTCATGTATGTTAAAAAATCGTTATGATATATTTTTTTACAATGACTTCAGAAAATAGAAATCCAAACGGACTCTTCTTATCTATCGGAGCTTGTTTTCATACTTAGCTAACAATTTGTGTGTGTACTAACATGAAAAAAAGGTAAAATTGTAGGTTCAGATGATTATATTTTAAGGGAAGAGCTCTATTCTATTCATAATATATATATATATATATATAGGGCTACATCGATGTTATTGGAGGAAATGTAAATTTTGGGTCAACATATTACCAATACCGGAGTTATTTTGGTACTCGCGTCATTGCTACTGCCATGGCTGCACTGCAACTCTTGAGAATATTTGAATGGAACCCTAAAAAGCAACTAGAGATCAAAGGGAAACAGACATGCCATTGCATTAGTCTTGCTATGATGCAATACTTTGCGAATTGTTTCATCCCACATTGCTGTCTTCTGAATTTTCATGGGAAAATGACCTGCTACACAATCTACTCAAAAGGAAACAACTTCCACCACGCACGTTTTCACCATTTGGACTTGTTTTACATCCCTTCAAGCCTAGCAACTCCACACTAAACATGGAAAAAAGCAACACTTAGAAATTGAAAAATTATATGTTTTTTTTAATAATATGCCAGTTTTGTTTGTTTTTTTTTCTCGTGCTATCTATAATTGATCAGTGCACCATCTTTAGCAAACACAAAGTCCCCTTATCCTTTGTCATCAATGATAGTATATTATAGCACAATGGGAAAGGAATTTCCACGCGTCAAATCTGCGAAGGGTACCCGATGAATTATCCTGAAATTCAATCTAGTGCTCCCCCCACTGCTACTCTTCCCTCGAAATTTCTTTAGCCTTGTTGTTCTCTGGGTGCGATTTGACGTTCAAAATTTGCTCTTAATCCTGCACAGAAGTCCGAGTAATTAATTAAAGCTTGAAACATATTCCTTTAGCTTTGGGACGGGCCCTAGATGATGCTCCAATCCATTGGGAGAAGAAGATTAAGTTATATCGAGTATCTCAATGACATCTGCCTGTCCAGCATCGATCATCGATCTTAAAACCTGGAATATTTAGTAGTTAGTTGAAAACATCCTAAAGTAATTTGAGCTTGATAAACAAAACGCAAGTCAAATGTTGTAGCCAGCTAGTGACGACATTCATTCATGTTAATCTAAAACATTTTGTATTTTCACTTTTTATGTCGATTATTACTTGTTACTATGATAATATATATATTACTTTTCCTAATCTTGAATTAAAAGCCAGATACGATGTAACTTCATCAGATGTAACACATTATGAGAAGTGGCCCTTTTTTGTTTCTACACCAATTTAAGTTCCAATTTCCAGCGGGAGACACGTTTTCATAAGGATTCGAGATAGCTGCCGGCCAGTTAAAAGTAGCAGTGTTGTTCATGCAAGCGCCAAACTGTAACTGGGGCCTGTCTCACCATGATTTTCTTCGGATTAAATACATAACAGTTGTAGAAGAAGCTGTTGTTGGATATAAAATAAGGCGACTTTCCAATGAATAGGATCATTAGAACTCCCTATGGACACAGACACGATCAAGCTCAGGCAGCGGCTGCCCACCACCCTGCTTTCCTGCACACTCAACACTCAGTCCCTACCATTCAAATTCATTAATGAACAATGGTTGCCATTTATGATTCTCCTTCAATTGTGTGAACAACAATAAACGAGAGAGAGAGAGAGAGAGAGAAGGGATTGTTCCGATCCGTTCCGGCTCTTGCTCAAGGGTGGGACAATATGAAATAGGAATTTATTATGGAATAGGCATCTGATTTTCTTGTTGTTTTCATTTTGATGATATAATTTACAGAAAGCAAGCTGTGCTACGTGTTGGATATTCTCTTGTGAAAAGATTCCTTGATGTTGTTTTGAGTTAATTTTTAGCCTTACACTTTCATCATTATAATCATGACTTTTTTTTTTAAGTCAAGACCTCCTACTTACATTTCTTCTCTCGCGTTACCATCTAATTCAACCCTCCCCAACAAATCATGACGAGTTTTAGCAAGCTTCGCAACAAAATGTTGTTGGAGAGAACACCGGTTGAGATAGTTGTGTGGTAAAAAAAAATAATAATAGGAGGGATAAAAAAGATTCCAAGAACAGCACAAGAAGGAAGATGAACTTTGTAGAAGTCCAACCCTAAATCTGTTTGATATGATGGATCTTGTTCTCGGTTGTTTTAAATTTTACAAAATTTGATTATAAAACCTGATTATGGAGAATGATTATAATCAGTAAAAACTACTATTTGGATAACTATAGATTTTAACATTTTTTGTCGTTACACAATCTATTATCAAAATACCAAAAAAAAAAAATTTCGATAGCATCACAAAAGCTGATTATCCAAAAATAGAATCTATAATCACTCAAAATAATCAAACGAGAACAAGCCTATGGTTAAAGTCCTAATTGTTGGCCTTTTTTCAGCTACCCAAAAGGCGTGCCTTATTTTGGGAGTGTCGGGTGACGCCTTTATGTGACTGAAACCTTTTTACGACCCAGGCATTGAGTTGAACTTTCGACCGCTCAGAAAGACCACGCCACTCTCTTGGGTCGCAAAAAGACGTGGTTTTTAATGGAGTGGTAAATTCCGCCTTCAAGTGGATGGATGGAAACCTTTTTACGAATAGCATTCCTATTTCCTACACATCACATGGTTTCAAAAAATTAATTGCAATTGAAGACAAAATGGAAAGTATTTGCAGGAAACTAAATCAATTATAGCCAGACTGACACCTGTGGCTGTGCCAGTTTCCCCCGGCTCAGAAACCAGGAAAATTTGCAGAAAATTACTACTACAAATTTGTCTTCAGCAGGATTAGATAATTATTGGGCCAACAAAACAATTTATCCTGGGCCTTTTGGCCCAGCAAAAAGGGTCCATGGGGATCCTTTGCTAAAATATTACGCACAACATATTAATCAACAAAATTGGAAGTTTATGATTTTTTTTTCCTACTTGCTAGAATCAAATAATTTCGAGCTGTTTATTTTTTGGCCAAATATGTGCTGCATTTAGCAACAATTCACAAAATGACATTTGGTGAATTTTCAGGTTGTGTAAAGAAATTTAGTGAGGATAATTTTGCCATGAAAAGATATCATGATGTTATCTTTAGGCACTGAAAAGTTAAGACGACACATTTACATCTTGAGTTCAGGTGGGGAAAGTGTAATTAATGGAGGCAAGATTGCAGGAATGGTTTTGCCCAACGGCAACTGCTAATCGCAACTCCCAAAGCCAAGCACAGCAATAGAGCCTCTGATGATACTATGGAGGAGAAGCCAGGCAATGAAGCGAAACAACTGGAAATCTTTGAAGTTGGCCCTGTTGCAGATGGCTACAGCATGGGGTTCTTGATAGGCCACAGGTTCTCCGGACAGATAAGAAGTAGGCTTGCCACAGACCTTATCCTTCAAAACCAGCTGCTGCCATTTGCTCAAACTCCCCAAGGCCGCAAGCTCATCAATGCTTTATCTGAAAATAACCAGAAAAAATTCCCCAATTACTGGAATGAACTTCTGGGAACTGCTCAAGGAAGTGGGGTGCCTTTTCTTGATGTAATGTTTACGCTCAACAGCTTAATGAAACGCTAGGAATGTTCATTTATCAACTGGTCAAAACTTGAAGTCTCCTGTTTTGTTTTATCATTATTGTATGTATTTTTTTTTTCTTTTGCCCAGATTTTGCTGCTCAACTTCAGGAAGGAAATACTTCCATTTATACCGAAATCCGAAGCAGATTTGAGTTCGAGGGACGATAACAATGATGATTGCTCCGATATACTTGTGGTTAGTGATTACATGGCTATTGCAGCTCATAATGAGGATGCAAATGTTGCTTTACTAGGCCACACGTAAGTTCTTTTGCAGCCTCTCTGAATGTTAATACAATAATTATGTCTATTTTACCCACGTGATATACTGCAAGCTACAGGCTTGAAATGAAATGCCGCTGCAGGTATTTAATCAAGGGAATACTTCCAAATGGACTATGTTTCACTGCTTATACATATGCAGGAGAGCTTCCAAGCTGTGCCTTTGCCTTCAATAGTCTTGGATTGGTACTTCTGGTTACTTACTTTGCCCGAATTGTACTATAGTTCTATACTTCTGGTTTCAGTTCAAGTCAATAAATTGCTCTGGAGCCATCACTCATGAAATGGTGCTCTCTAGGCATTTACGCTGAACTCTGTACCGCCGACTCAGTCTGAGATTGTGGCTGGTGGGATTGGCCGGAACTTCATTTCGAGAGACTTGCTTGAAGCTGAGAGCATGGATGATGCCTTAACTGTAATACATCTCTCTTTTAACAGTTTAATTAACTTTGAATTGAGGGGAGGATAGGTACTAATTTGAATGTTTGTTTTGGCTTTAGAGAATTCGTTCATCAGAAGTTTCCGTGGGACACAGTTACAATCTGATTGACACAGGGAAGCGGAGAATTTTGAACGTGGAAACTGCATCAAGAACTCGAGTTTCCGTACTTGAGGTTGGGGAAACTCCATTCTTCCATGCAAATATGTACCTTCATCTTCAAGTTCAGCAGGTGACATGTTTCGGAGACGTATGAAATTTATACAAAAATCATGTGTAGAATCAGCTAATTACTGTTGTGCTGATTACTATATTGTACCAGTTCAATGTTATACAATTAAACCTCTTCTACAAAAAGTAACGAATAGAAGAGGTCAATCATCGATCTGTTCTTGCCATTCTAACATCAGAATAGAAGAGTTTCAATCCATTATATGAACTCTTATAGGTGTATAACCATACAAGCACTTCCGCGTTTTCGGCTGTTCAGGTACAGGATGAGAATTC